AGTGGGGCATGGGCCTGCCTCACTGCCAGCAGCAGCCAGATGGTGCCGGATCCTCTGGCACGGGGTTGTGGGAAAGGAGAGGGGCTGAGCACCAGTAGGCAGGAGCAGTGTAGGGCAGGGTGAGCCCAGTGATAGGGGAAGGGCACTGCTGTTCCCCTTGTTCACGGGGAAGAGGGGTAGGAGAGAGCCTGTGTGTGAGCATGGACCCAGTGGCTCAGCCCCGCCGTGGGCAGCGCGTGGTGCTGCTAACCACAGGCCCACCCTTCCCCCTTTTTAAGGTGCAGTGGGTGGTGCAAAGGTTGCCATGCCTACAGGCCCTACCCCTCTGGACAAGAACCCCCCGGGCAGTAACCAGCACCCCCTGTCCAGCAAGGAGGAGGCCCGAGCCAGTGACAAGGAGAAGCCCCGCGTGGAAGATGGAGGTCTGGATGGCGTGGCAGCCCGTACAGCCCCAGAACATGTAGCAGTGAAGCAAGAGCCACACATCCCCTCGGTGAGTGTGGATGCACTGGATTCGATCCAGGCGGGGGGAAAAGGGAGGCCTTCTTGTCCTTCTTCTGGGACCTCACCCCCTTGGTGTTGCACTGGGGACTAGCAAACTGTTCCTGGAGGAGGAGGCAGTGCTCCTCAGTCATAGCTGGCAGCAGTTGGTCCATCTATCCCAGTCCTGGTGGGAGATGGTGTGATAGCTCCAACCCAGCCACATCTGAGGGATGCCTTGGGTTTTTGAGTTCCCCTGGTGTTGCCAGAGAGGACCCCCCCAAGCACAGCACCCTCACATCTGCCTCTGCTTTGACAGCCCAAGCCGACATGTATGGTGCCACCAATGACACACAGCCCCGTGAGCACCGAGAGTGTAGAGGATGATGAGGATGAGGACGAAAAGAAGAAGGTGTGCCTGCCCGGCTTCACGGGGCTGGTGAACCTGGGCAACACCTGCTTCATGAACAGTGTCATCCAGTCCCTGTCCAACACTCGGGAGCTACGCGACTACTTCCATGGTGAGCCCACGCCAGGAGCCCAGCAGAGCCCTGATGCTCGGACATTGCAGCCAGTGGCCACTCTCTTTCTCCTGCATCTTTTACAGATCGGTCCTTTGAGTCGGAAATCAACTACAACAACCCACTGGGGACAGGGGGACGCCTGGCCATCGGCTTTGCCATGCTGCTGCGAGCACTGTGGAAGGGCACACACCATGCCTTCCAGCCCTCTAAACTGAAGGTAGGGCCACAGGCACCAGCACTATGCAGGAGTGCTCCTGTGGGCACCTGGCAGCCTTGCTAACGCTGCTGAGAGCTAAGTGGGTGCAGGTGGGTGCAACCAGGTTTTGTGTCCTCACTGCTGTGCTCCCCTCAGGCAATTGTGGCCAGCAAGGCCAGCCAGTTCACTGGCTATGCCCAGCACGATGCTCAGGAGTTCATGGCCTTCCTGCTTGATGGCCTGCATGAGGACCTCAACCGGATCCAGAACAAGCCCTACACAGAAACTGTGGACTCAGATGGGAGGCCTGACGAGGTGGGGATGTCACTCCCTAAAGCCGCTGGGAGAGCAGCCCTGGCCTGGGTGGTTTAGTGCAGTGCTGAGCCCTATCCCCTGCCGCAGGTGGTGGCTGAAGAGGCCTGGCAGCGACACAAGATGAGGAACGACTCTTTCATTGTGGACCTCTTCCAGGGCCAGTACAAATCCAAGCTGGTGTGCCCAGTGTGTTCCAAGGTAGGGCAGCCTTGGAGGCTCTGTCCCTGTCCTGGCTGTGCAGCAGGCCCCTGACCCTCAGAGGGCACAGGGCAGGGCTGGATCTTGGGTCTGCTGAGGCTGCTGCCCTGCTGATCTCAGTCACAAGCATTTCCTGCAACTGAGTGTGCTTTCACGTCTGCAGGTGTCCATCACTTTCGACCCCTTCCTGTATCTCCCTGTGCCCCTCCCGCAGAAGCAGAAGGTGCTGACTGTCTACTACTTTGCAAAGGAGCCACACAAGAAACCCATCAAGGTAAAGGACACGATCTGCTCTAGAGAGGTATCCTGAAAGGGTTCCTGGAGGTGCTCCAGGCAGCTGGTCATGTGCTAACGGGCTAAGCCTTGTGTTAAGGAAGGACCTGTGCATGTTGGTGTGGTGTGACTGATGTGGCACTTTCTTCTCGGCAGTTTCTTGTGAGTATCAGCAAGGAGAACTCCAGTGCCATGGAGGTGCTTGACTCAGTGGCCCATAGTGTGCGTGTGAAACCAGAGAACCTGCGCCTGGCAGAGGTGAGTGCTCAAGCTGGGGAGAAAGCCACAGGCTGTTCCTGTGGGTGCCCCAGCTTCTGCAGCTCTGCAGGAAATGTGGCCACCAGCAGTCACTTGCTCATATCCAACATATCCATGGGGTGGATTTTGTCCGTGGGTGGCAGTGTCCTGCACAGGGTGCTGCGGGGTAGATCCCTGCTCAGGAGGACTGGGCCACGGCAGTGGGGCAAAGGATGTCTGTCCTCCCCTGGCAGGGTGGTGAGCTGAGCTCAACGTCCCTGTTGTACTGCTGTCCCTGCAGCTCACTGGGGCCGAGGTCTGTGACTTTCTCAGGAGAAGCATGGGGCAGCCCTGACACAGTCCTGCTCCCCTGCTTTCCTGGCAGGTGATCAAGAATCGCTTCCACCGCATGTTCCTGCCATCTAACTCACTGGACACGGTCTCCCCCACGGACCTGCTGCTCTGCTTTGAGGTGCTGTCCCCAGAGCTGGCTAAGGAGCGGGTGGTGGAACTGCAGGTCCAGCAGGTAAGAGGGAATATCGGGACTACTGGGAGGCATGCAGGGAGGCTGAGCCTGCAAGTGGGGCTGAGCAGGAGGAGGAGCGCTGCACACAGCGTGACTAGCTGCAGGGAGCACAGACCCCACTGAGGCTGCCTTGTCCTGCCCGAGCGCCCTTCCCTGCCCAATGGATCTGTTCTCCTGCAGCGTCCGCAGGTGCCCAGTGGCCCTGTTGCCAAGTGTGCGGCCTGCCAGAAGAAGCAGCTGCCGGAGGATGAGAAGCTCAGGCGCTGCACGAGGTGCTATCGAGTCGGTTACTGCAACGTGTGAGTTATCTTGGTGCCTGGCAGGGAGGGAGGGTCTCCTGCCTTGAAGGGCTGGATGGGATAGCTCAGCCTGCTGGGAGGAGGTGGGATTAGCCTGGCCTTTATGAGGGAGCCAATCTGGC